CCCCGCCACGTCTCTCCGGGCACCTGTGGGGCGAGACCCCGCGCCACCTGTGCACACACCCGCTTCCCCGTGCCCTGCGTGGTGTCCAGCTGTCCCGGACCTGGGCCTGGACCAGCCTCTGGCGGTTAGAGTTTATTTTGGAAACGTTCGATTTTTTCTCTCTCTCTGCGTGTTAATAATCGTTTTACTACGGCCGTGCAACAGTTGTGTAAATCTGGTCGAATTACGCCATCGTCCTTACTGGCTCCTGAGAAGGCCCTTTCCAGCTCCTTCGGTTTTCTGACGCGATGATTGTTGGTAGCGCATGGGAGAAATGCATGAGGCGATATTGGTTCTCAAGGCACTGAAATGTTTTGCGCCCCAAAATGGAAGCATCCGTTTTATTTATTTATTTATTTATTTAGTTTACTGCAGCAATATACTACGGGGGAGGGGAAACGGGGTATGAAGAAAGCCCGTAGCAAACTCCTCCTCAGTAGAGAATTTTACAATTTCGAGTGTTTCTGTCCATTCTTTTTAGAAAATGCATGAGTTTATATTTGCGTTACATCCGTGGGGTATTTACTTTCTGATTTTTTTCACTTAATACATAGAGGACTTTTCTCTGTAAAATTGTAACTATAGCATCGATGGCTAGAAAGAAACTCGCTAAAGATTTGATGACGTATCACTGCAGTGGCCAGTTTATTGGCTAGAAATAAGCAGAATTCAGGGTAGCAACCGGTATCCAAAAGATATTATTTATTCCTGTTAAAAACTTGAGGCAGTGTTTTTCAGACTGCAGTTTTCAACCCATTGGCGAATTGTAAAATTAATTTAGTGGTTCGTGAGTAGGATTTTAAAAATTCATTTAAAAGATGAAATAAAATAGCGTAGAAAATACCAGACTACATTACTTGTTCTGAAGGGTATTGTTTTGTGAAACCTTGTTTTAACTGCGCATGTGTGCCTGTGAGTGTGTGCTGGGTTGTAATATAAAATGTATTGCTTTCTATGGTGTCAAGATAAATAAATTTAAAGTCACTGATCCAAAGTACTGTCAGCATTCAAAATGGGTGCAATGATGCAATTAAACTAAAAGTTAATTTTATTCATTTTCATTCTCTCTCTCTTGCGGAGGCGGGGAATACTTACATTGTTTATTGCAGTATATTAGGTTCTTTTCCCCTAATATTAAAATAATTAGCATTTCCAAAAATACAGAAAGGTTTTTATAGAAGTTAAAAGATCAAAACATTAACTGAACATATTCACTAGTTATTGGTGTGAGACTTGGAAAAAGATCACTTCTTTCTAAACTTAAGTTCCCTAATTTGTTGAATGGCAGTGACTTGATTCCTACCTTTTAAAGCTGTTTGTTATTTAGATGAAACAATGCATATAAAGCTATTGACGGTGTCCTGGCTCAGATTAAGTATTCACTACGTATTATTATTTTATTAAGATCCAATGGTAGTGTCCAGAATAATTCTTGTTGTCAGAGAAAAGGCGGCATAGTGTGGATAATCAAAAAAAAAAAAAAAAAAAGAAAGTTGAAAATTAGTTATTTGTGTTGTGTGACTGGGAATTAAGATCATCTTTTTATGTATTATTTGGGCACTATTTGGTGATTGCTTACTAATTGTTATCCCATTGATAGATAATTTAGATTGTCTTATTTTTAAAAAAAAGTTTTCCTTCTATTGTCTTTTCTTACTTTCTGTTAAGTTGTCGTCTCTTTTGTCAGGCAGTTGAAAAAATTTCCTCTGAGGATTTTGGATTTTGTTAGCTCTTATACAAAGCTGCAGTCAGTTTGGAAATCCACACAACTACAAAATCATTTCAACAATATTTTTATTGATATTTATCTCTGCACCCGGTGTAGATTTCAGATATACAAGAAATGTTTCTTAAAAACAAAGAAACAAACAGCTCACACCGTTCAGATATTTGTTGTTGACTGCTCCAGGTGGGTTTATTCAGTTTTAAATGTTGCAAAAACCAATGAAATAAGATGATTGTTGTCACTTTAAAAATATCATTAAAATTATTAAAAATAAATAGAATGCTTTGGAATCGGAAAAAAAGATTTTGTAGGATGGGATGATTGTAAAAGGTGGTGAAAAAATCCTAAACATTAATCGTAATTCTCTTGGATTGGAAATGTCTTTAGATTCTAAGCACATGATTTGGAACTAATTAATTTGTCCCAGAAAAACAAAAACCAAAACCCCAAACAACAATGAAGCAAAAAAGCCCAACTAACTGAAACTTACATGTGTTAATGTAAGTTAAAATATTAAGGTTATGTGGGGATATATTTTTAAAATTATTGACTCACCAACTGCTGTTTTTTTTTGTCAGATAAGACGGGTTTTTATCTTACACTTATAAATGAAATACTATGTAATCATTAAACATTCTGTTTGGAAATATATATATATATATATATATATATATATATATATATATATATATAAAATGGCATGTAAAGTGCTCATATGATTAATTGAAGGGGTAGTAATACGATGGAATGTTCAATATATTCCATTTTTGTAAAAATATGATTAGAAAGAATAAAGAATTTATAATAAATGTTAACAATGGGTGGTGTAATTATGACTATTTGTGCTGTTTTTTGTAATTGTACTATAACTAGTATTTTACTTTTGGAATAAAAATAAAAATCACTTTTAAGGAAAAAATTTAAATGTGTGTTTTTCTAATTTATAAGACTAAATGAGACTGCTTTAAGGGATAATGACTCTTTGAATTTGAATATTTTGGATATCAATGAATTCTCTGTTATCCTAGGGAATGGTGCTGAGTAGTTTAAAAGTTACACATTTCTTATATATAGTTAGTATCCCTTTGAGGAGCTCCTTTGAATAGGAGGAAATCATTGTTCCAGAATTTTCAAAGCACTCTTAAAAAAAAAAATTCACTGCCTAAAGATATGTCTAAATTCTTTAGTCTGCTTTTGAATCCTACCATGTCAAAAACTTCAATGTACTTTTCCTGCTTTATTGCCTCTTAAATTCACAAATGAAACCGTAGGTTCAGCCGAACTTGTTAATTTACTGTCTCAAAGTGTTCCCATGCCTTCTTGCTTTTGTACCTATGCCTTTTACATGGCATATCTTTTTCTGACCTAAGCAAAGCCTTCCCATTTTCCAGAATCTGGTTTATAAAACCATGTCCACATTGACGTCCCTGGCTACTCCAGCTGAAACTGTACTTTGCAAATTAATCCATTAGCACTTATTAGTTTTGCAGTGCTTCGGATCAAACCCAGGGCTTCATGCGTACTAGGCGAGTATTCTACCCCAGCCCTGAATGTACAATTTTTATTTAGACTTTTCTTAAACACTTCTTCACACTCTTGCATTAATTTTCCAGTTTCATTTTAAATTTCTTGATGGCAGGAAAACTTTTCTCATCTTTTGTGTCTGTCCCTTAAAGTTTCTAAGCACCAAACTCTGTGCAGGATATGTATTTAATAGCTGTATTTTGATTAAACAGTGGTGTCACTGACTGTTTTGAGCCCCGGTGTTGGAATTTTTTAAAATCAGTGATCCTAGGTAAGGATCAATCCTTTACCTACAACAATGTATAGGAAAAAACTGATTATTCTGCTTAATTGAGAGTTGGTCATTTTTACAAGACCCAAACTTAATTTCAGGTATATATTTCTTTTAAAAATGTTTCATGAAGCTTATTTTGTGTTTGGTAGCATTTTGCCCTTAACCTTACAAAAGGCACAGCTGTGCCTTATATTCTTTTACAGCTACTCTTCACCTGGGATCCAGAGGTCTGAAGTGTTTGATGGTGGGTTAGATGGGTCATCAGTCATTCTGCTCCAGAACATCTTAGGAGGTCATGTTGTGACATTCAGTGAGTCATAGTATGTAGTATGTTCTGTGTTCAAAAGTTAATTTTTTTTTATTATTGGAAGCATAATTGCATCACTGTTCAAACTTAAAATGATTTGGGGATACTTGTTGGTGAATGGTAGACACTTGTGGGACTACTGTTTCTTTCTTTTCTTTTCTTTTCTTTTCTTTTCTTTCTTTCTTTCTTTCTTTCTTTCTTTTTTTTACAGTGCTGGGGATCAAACCCAGGTCCTTGTGCATACTAGGCAAGCACTCTTAACACTGAGCTACATGACTAGCTGGGACTTACCTTTTTTAAAAAATTGTTTCATTTTAATTTACAGATGTTTACCAGGATTCATACAGCGGATGAAATGCTTGCCCTTTTCTTCTTCTCACGGTAAATAATTTGTTACTTTATAAGAAATATCAATTCTAATAAAATTCAGAATTTATATAAAAAGATCCAGTTATGCAAATAATATAATCTCAGAACATGAAGAATTGATCTTTTTAATGAGTAAGAATTTTATTAGTTCATAAACTGATGATGTAGATTATTAGGTCAGCTTATATATCAGATCACTTTGGAACTTTTTTTTAATTTAAAATTTCTTCCACTTTTTTTAAATTGGTGTGTTATAGTTGTACATAATGATGGGATTTGCTGTTACATATTTATACATGCATACAATATAACAATATAATCTGCCTAATATTCCTCCTCAGCACTCTCTCGACCCTTCTTCCTCCTACCTCAGTCCCGTTCCTCTGTTCTACTGATCTCACTTTGATTTTCATGAGATCCCCTTAGCCTTTCTTTTTGGATCATTTTAAATAATCATAATATCCATGTGCTTTGGATTCCCCCCATGCCAAGGCGATTTGATTTGGTAAGTTTTAGATGGGGTCCTATAATTGAATATTTATAAATGCAAACGTGTTTCTGATTCATTGTGACTTTTAATTGTGGCACTAGAGAGGATGGAAACAGTAGGTGAAAATGCCATAGTAGTTAAAGGTCATAGGAATAAAGATTAAATAATATTTTTTGTGTGATGTTTGATTCATTTTTGTTTTGTCTTTCATTCAGCAAATATTGAATTGTGTGTGTGTGTGTGTGTGTGTGTGTGTGTGTGTGTGTGTATTTGGTAGTGGGGATTGAACCCAGGGGTGCTTGACCATAGAATTGCATTCCCAGACCTTTTTTTTAAGAAAAATGTTTTTTAGTTTTAGTTGGACACAATACTTTTTATTTTTTTATGTGGTACAGAGGATCAAACCCAGGGTTCTGCATGTGCTCTACCGCTGAGCTACAACCCCAGCCCCTCCCAGTCCTTTTTTATATTTTATTTAGAGACAGGGTCTTGCTGAATTGCAAAGGACATCGCTAAGTTGCTGAGGCTGAACTTGAACTCTCGATCTTGAACCGCCTCAGCCTCCAGAGATGCTGTGATTACAATTATGCGTCATTGTGCCCTGCTGATATATTTATTGATATATTTTCATAAATCACTAAAACATTTGTGATTTTATCATATTCAGAATTTAGGTTTAAGCTCAGGAGTTCTCTTAGCTTAAAAATTGCTGTATTTTTAATTTACAAACTGTTTCATTTTATTGCTTCAGATTAATAAATGAAGTAGATTAATGAGAAAAGAGACCAAATAATAAGTGATTTCTTATATATTATTTCAGATGCTGGTTTAATTGATTTATTTTCCCCTACGTGTGGGAATTCAGAAAATCAAAGGTTTCCAATAAAAGTAATAGGTAAGTAAATGTTATGAAAGAATTTTGACTTAAAGCTTTTATATTCTCATCTTTTTAGTTTTAAGGCTGCAATTTCATTTTTCAGTCATTTTATTTTTTGGTATCAGGGATTGAACACAGAAGTGTTTAACCACTGAGTCCCCAGCTCTTTTATTTTTATTTTTTAATTTTGGGACAGGGTCTAACCAATTTGTTTACAGCCTCACTAATTTGCCTAGGCTGACTTTGTGATTCTCCTGCTTCAACCTCCCAAGCTGCTGGAATTACAGGTGTGTATCACCACACCTGGCTTTAGTTATTGATTTTGATATTTAAATCTTTTGTAGAATAATCTCACTTATAAACATTCACATTATAGAATAATTTTTATACATTTTCCAACAGACGAGAATGTCTACAAATGGTGTGACTCTACGTTGTGTATAACCAGAGATATGAAAGACTGTGCTATTATATGTGTAATATGAATTGAAATATATTCTGCTGTCATATATAACAAATTAGAATAAATTTAAAAACAAATGTATAAAATAATTAGAATTAAAAACTTGACAAAATTATTTGTAATTCTGTTTTCAGTTTAACAGAACAGGAATATCACATTGAATTAATTTGTTTACTTAAAGTAATAATGACATGGTGTCAGCTAATAAATTGGCTGTGCATCAGAATTACCTGGGAATTTAAAAAATTCTGAGCTGGCATGGTGGCACACACGTATAAATCCCAGTGGCTTAGAAGGCCGAGACCAGAGGATACAAGTTCAAGGTCAGCACCTGCCACTTTGCAAGACCCTGTCTCTAAATAAAAAAAAAAATAAAAAGGGCTGGGTATGTAGCTCAGTGGTTAAGTGCCCCTGGATTCAATCCCTGGCACCAAATAAATAAATAAACAAATAATATGAATCCTAAACTTTTAACTCATCTCTACTAACTGATTTTGGCATTCAGCCTTGTTTGGGAACTACTACTATATCTTAAGTTAGGGGATTATTCTTATAGGAGGGTGGAAGTTAAGAAATCTCAAAAGTAGCAGTAGGAAAAGATTCTGAATATTTATTTTGATTTATATAATTGTCAGAAAAGAAATGTCTCATGTTTCAGAGGCTGCCTTAGATATTACTCTGATTGTTGGCAACTTTGTTGGTAAATTATTCTCTGTCTCTGTTATAAACTGAGCAGAAACTGTCATGTGGTATCTTTTCTCTCATGACAGAGAATTAGCATTACTATATATGATATTAAGAGTTCAAATAATCTGGAACTTTGTATAGAAACACGGTAGGAAAATTAAGGAGCTCCTTAAGATTATAGAAGTACACTCACTATAGTAATACCTTGGAAGTAATTTGCCTACACATTACGTACTGTATTCTTCAATGAATCAGTTTCTAATAATTCTTGTAAATTAGCAGAAAATTGATAAGAAATTCAGTCATTTAAATCTTCAAATATTGACAACAAACTGCTCTTTAAGAAGATGCTATATTTTCAGATCCACTGCAGGATCACAAAGTGACTCAGTAGATCGTGGCTGCTTTGCATATTTTCTTAACTACTAATAGAAATATGAGTGAATTTCTCATAGTAGTAAGGAATTATAGTGATTTTTTAAAAATTTATAGTTATTGATGGACAACAACATGCCTTTATTTTGGTTTTTTTTTTTTTTAATTTTTATGTGGTGCTAAGGATTGAATTTAGTGCCTCATGCATGCTACGCAAGCAGTATGCCAAGGAGCTACAGCCCCAGCCCCTTATGGTGATTTTTTTTGCCACCTTTCTTCTTCCTTTTTTTCCTCCAGCTTTGAGTATTCAAGAACAATAGCCATTTTGGTTATTCAACATGCAGAGGAAACAAGGATATTGCAGCTATTGCCGTGTGCAGTATCCTAACCTGGAACAGGTGAGAGGTTCCTACCAATATGATAATACCTATAAGGAACTTAAATGTGACTTTCTGTTCTTTTACATTTTACTAAATACATTTATTCATTCATTGAGCAGATTATGTTGAGAATCTACTAGTTAGTTGGCTGACACTGTTTAAGATTCTAGGGATATGACCAAGAACAAAACTAAGTTTCTTTTTTTCATGGAGCTTAAATTCTAGCACAGTAAAACAGAAAATAGTCATGTAAATTTAGCATGTAAATTTAATATGTCAGAATGTGATAATTTTTTTTTAGGAAAATAGGGGCAGGAGTACTATTTTAGGTGGAGCAGCCAGGTAAGGCCTTTTTAAGAAAGTGACATTTGAATTAAGATTTTAATGAGGTTTACTGATATATATATATATAAAGAACAAAGACAGGGAAGAGTGTTTGTCACGCTAACCAAAAGCCAAGAGGCTATTGTGACTGCAGTAGAGATGGTTAAATACATGTTGAAAATAAATCAAAGAAGTAGATTCTGTAAAGACCTTGCAGGTTAAGGTAAGGACTTTGAATTTCAGGACAGAAGAGGTAAATCATCTAACTTATATTAAAAGAATCATTCTGACTACTATTAGGGAGAAGAGTTGGTATGGCATTTATTGTTTTATTGCAATGTAATTCTCACACCATAAACTTAACCCCTTTAAAATGTGTAATTCAGAGATCTTTAGTACATGCATCAAGTGCATATACTAATGCCATAGTGTCGTAATTCTAGAACATTTTCATCACCCTAAAAGGAAACCCTATACTCATTAATCAATTACTCTATTCCCTTCTACCCCTAACCCTTGGTGACAACTAATCTGTTTTCTGTTTCAATAAATTTGACTATTCTGGATATTTTGTATAAATGGAATCATATACCATGTGACCTTTTGTGTCTGATGTTTTCACTTAGTGTAAAATTTTCAAGTTTGATCTGTGTCATAGCAAGTAGTACTATCTCTCTTTTTCATGACTGAATATTATTCTCTTATAAAGATAATACTACATTTTGTTTTTTCATTCAATAATTGATGAATGTTTAGATTTTTAAAATTTTTTTTGGCTACCATGAATATATCTGCTATGTACTTTTGTGTATAAGATTTTTTGTGGACATGTGTTTTCACTTCCCTTTATGTGTGTGTGTGTGTGTGTGTCTGCGTGTTTGTACATTTATAGCAGTGTTATTGTTGAGTCATATGGTGTGTTAAGTTTTTTTAAGGAACTGCCTCACTATTTTCCAAAGTAGATGTACTGTTTTATGTAAGTTACCGCTAGCAGTGTATGAGGGTTTCAGTTATTCCTCATCCTTACCAGCACTTATTATCTTTTAAAAATTATAACCATTTTTACTGGATGCAAAGTGATATCTCATTGTGGCTTTGATTGGCATTTCCCTAAAGTCACTGAGCATCTTTTCATGTGCCAGTTATGTATCTTCTTTGGATGAATGCCTGTTCAAATCCTGTGTCTATTTTTTAATTGTTATGTGGTAAGTCTTTAAGCATTCTGGGCACTAGACCCTTATGAGATATATGATTTACAAATACTTGCCTGATAGTATGCTTCAGTGCACAAAGGTTTTTAATTTTGCTATCATTGAATTTAACCTTTTTTTTTTTTTTTTTGGTGTTGATCCTCAGGGCCTTGTGCATGCAAGGAAGTGCTCTGCCATTGAACTGTATCCCCAACCCTGTTCCTTATTTCCCTCCAAGAGTTTTATAATTACTCTTACAGTTAGATGTTTGGTCCATTTGGAGTTAATTTTTGTATGTGACATGAGATAGGGGCTCCAGTTTCATTCTTTTGCATGTGATATCCAGTAATCCCAGCATAATTTGTTGAAAATATCCTTTTCTCATTGAATTGTCTTTATATATCTGTTGAAAATTAGTAGACCATAGGTATAAGAGCTTATTTCTATACTTTCAAGTTTATTCTACTGGTCTATATATTTACTCTAATGCCAGTACCACAGTCTTTTAAAAAAATATATTTTTAAGTTTTAATTGATGCATAGTAATTGTACATATTTATGAGGTACAACATAACATTACAATGTGTAATGGTGAGATTATGATAATTGGTGTATTCATAAAAATAAGACATTTATCATTTCTTCGTTCAGAATCCTGTTATTTTTTAGATTTTTTTTTTTAGTTGTAGATGGACACAATATCTTTTTTTTAAAAAAAAATTTAGTTGTAGTTGGACACAATACCTTTATTTTATTTATTTTTATGTGGTGCTGAGGATCGAACCCAGTGCCTTATGCCTGCAAGGCAGGTGCTCTACCACTGAGCTACAGCCCCAGTTCCCTCTCTACTATTTTAAAATGTACACCTAATAGTGGTTAACCATAGTTATTACTATAATAATGGTAACTATTATTCTAGTCTCTATTACAAGATCAGCTTTTGAACTCCCACACATGAAAGCATGCAGTCTTTGTCTTTGTCTTACTTCATTTGACATAAGGTCCTCCAGTTCATTTGTTACTACAAATGACAAGGTTTCATTTTTTATTATGGCTTAATAATATTCCATTGTATTTATACGTACCACTTTTTCTTCTATCGGTTCATCAATGGACTATTTGGTTGATTCCATTTCTTGGCTGTTGTGCATAGTGCTACAGGAAACATGGGAATGCAGTTGTCTCTTCAACATACTGATTTTATTTTCTTTGGATACATATCCAGTAGTAGGATTACTTGGTCATATGACAGTTCTGTTTCTAGTTTTCTGAGGAAACTCTACAGTTTTCCATAGTGGATTTTCATTCCAACCAATAGTATATGAGAATTCCCCTTTCTCTACAGCATTTGTTATTTTTTTGTCTTTTTGATAATAGTCTTTCTTACTGGAGTAAGAAAGTAATGTTGTAATGTTGAGAATTTTTTCACGCACTTGACCACCATTTGTGTGTCTTCTTTTGAAAATGTCCTGTTTAGGTAATTTGTTTATTAATAAACCAAATTTTTGCTATTGAGTTGTTTGAGTCCTTTATGTTTTCTGGAAATTAATTCCTTATTAGGTAAATAGTTTGCAAATATTTTCTTCCAGTTTGTAGGTTGTTTCTTCACTCTATTAATTATTTCCTCTCTTGTGCAGAAGTGTTTTAGTTTAATGTTAATAAAATTTGACAGTTTTTGCTTTTGTTGCGTGTGCTTTGGGGATCATATTAAAAAAATTTTTCCCAGACCCAATGTTTTGAAGCTTTTCCCTTATGTTTTCTCCTAGTAGTTTTATATTTTTGGAGTCTTACACTGAAGTCTTTGGTTTGTATTGAGTTGATTTTTGAATATGGTAAGAGAGAAGTCCAGTTTTATTTTCCTAAATATGGATATTTAGTTTTTCTAGCACTATTTACTGAAGAGCCTTTCCGTTTTCCTGCATATGTTCTTGCTACCTTTTTTGAAAATCAGTTGGTTATAAATACATAGATTTATTCTTGTAATTTCTGTTTTGTGCCTTTGGGATATGTCTTTTTTTGTTCTAGTACCATACCATTTGTTTACCATAGATTTGTGGTATGATTTGAAGTTAGGTATTATAATGCCCTACCTTTGTTCTTTTTGCTCAGTATTGTTTTGGCTATTCAGGGTCTTTTGTGGTTTTCATATGAATTTTATGATTTTTTTTTCTATTTCTGTGAAGAATATCATTGACCTGGGTACAGTGGTATATGCCTGTAATCTCAGCAGCTCAGGAGGTTAAAGCAGGAGGGATACTGAGTTCAAAGCCAGCCTCACCAACTTAGCGAGGCTCTAAGCAAACTCAGTGAGACCCTGTCTCTAAATAAAATACAAAAAAGAGCTGGAGAGGGGCTGGGGTTATGGCTCAGCGGTACAGTCCTTGCCTGGCATGTGTGAGGCTCTGGGTTCGAGTCTCAGCACCACATAAAAATAACTAAAATAAAGGTATTGTGTCCAACTACAACTAAAAAATATTTATTTAAAAAAAAAGGGCTGGAGATATGGTTTAATGGTTCATGCCCCTGAGTTCAATTCCCAGAACCAAAAAAAAAAAAAAAGAGAAAACAATATCATTTATATTCTGATAGAATTGTATTGAATCTGTAGGATTGGATAGTATGGACATTTTAACATTAGTTCTTCTAATCCATGAACAGGGAATATCTTTCCGTTTTTGCATCCTCTTCAATTTTGGTCTTTTGTGTTTCATAATTTTCATTGTACAGTCATTAGCTTCTTTGGTTAAATTTATTCCAAGGTATTATTATTTTTTTATAGCTATTTTTAGTGGTATTTATTTCTTGGCAATTTTGTAATTGATGTATAAAAAACTACTTTTTAATGTTGATTTTGTATCCTACCACCTTATTAAATTTACTTATCAGTTCCAACAATATTTTGGGAGAGTCTTTAGGTTTTACCTATATAAAATTACATAGTCTGCAAACTGATAATTTGATCTCCTCTTTTCCTCTTTGAATGCCCTTTATTATTTTTTTTAATCTTATTTCCTTGGCTAAGACTTCCAATATTGTCTATCAAATAAGAGTGGTGAAATAGACATCCTTAATCATAGAGGAAATGGATTTCAGCTTTTTTTTATTTAGTAGGTTATAGGCTATGAGTGTCTTATGTATAGCCCTTGCCATACTTCAGTACCTAATTTTTTGAGAATTTTTATCATGAAGAGACATTGGATTTTATTAAATGCCTTTTCTGCATGTATTAAAATAATCATAACAGTTGTCATTCATCATTCTATTGATGTGATTGATATATTATGTTCAGCACTTTGTATATATTCAGCCATCCTTACATCCTTGGATAAATCCCACTCGATCTTGGTGTATAATCATTTTTGTGTGTTGTTGGATTAATTTATTCATATATATATATTTAGAATTTTAACATCTGTGCTCATCAGGGATATGGGTTAGACATTTTCTTCAATTTTTTTTTTTGTTGTTGTTATCTGGTTCTGGTGTCAGCATAATGCCTTATAA